GGAACATAGGAGCGTTCCTGTTGAGGGATGCCGTCCTGATGCACGCGTGAAGCTGCCTCATACGTCGGTGTCACTATGCAGGAACCCCCACAAATTGTCAACAGCTTGTGGATGACAGTTTTTGTAGCAGCATTGCAGTAGTGATGCCCTTTGGCTCAGCCAATCCAAAGACGAGAACCACATTGGTTGAAGCCTTCTGGGTGGCACTGGCTGCAGTGCCAAGCATGTCAACACCTCCGACTGCCACTTGTGAGGCCCGACTTGGCCCCTGGGTGTCGTGCAGCTGAAGCTGTGGCATCGAAGTGGCGTGCCTGCCCCGGGCCAGGGCTTCTCGTAGCTGCTGGTGTGATGTGGAAGCAGCTTTGCTTTGGCCCGGACCCTGTGGTGTTGTCGTCTCAAGCGCCCGCTCAGCACACCGGAAGCCGTAGAAACGCCCCATGGACATGGAGGGTGGACATGAGCTCGTCCTGCCACAGCAGCTCGTCCTGCCACAGCAGAATCTGGCACTGCAAGACGGCTCACTGGATCGACTTGATGCAGTGCTCGCACCTACGACGGAGTGGGCACGCCTGCGTGAGATCCTGTCGAGTCGCCCTGCGTGGGTACAAGATGTGGTCAGCAATGCGCTCTGCGACGAGCTCGCGCGCAGCTGTCGAAACATCGTGGAGCAAATCCGGACCACCAGAGACATCAAGAGACCTTGAGCTCCGATGATGCGCTTGCCGTCGGCAACATGCTGCACGAGATCCGTCCCTCCAGCATTCGCGGTCTTGAGAGAGCTGCCGATGAAGTTGAAGCGGACATCCATGCACTGAGGGATGACTTGCAGAATGAGGATTTCGAAACCATGGAGAACCGAGCCAAGCGCATCTCCCTGAGAGCCAAGAGATTCAGAGACAGGTATGCAGCCTTTCGGCCAAGCATGGTTAGGCTGCAGCAAAAGCTCCAAGAGCTCGCTGCCCTCTGCGAGCAACAAGAGTCCAGGTCTGCTGAGCTGATTGCCGAAACAGAGAGCAAGCGGGAGCGGTGGTGGCGACTTCTGACGGCAATCAATTCGGTATTGGTGGGTGGTGGCGTGATTATGCTTGGTGCAGCAGCAGGCACTGTGTTTGTCGTTAAGCAAATATTGGTGACCAAAGTATCTGCTCTTTGTTCGGGGCAAGCGGCTCTCGCAGCCGCCAAGGCAACCGCAGCAGGCAAGACAGCTGCTGCTGCTGCGGCTCAGGCGGCCTCCGCCAAAGCGGCCGCCGCAGCCGGCTCAGGTGCTGCAAGCTCATCGGCTGCTGGTGTAGGTGTGGCTACAGCTGCCGGTGTCACAGGTGCAGGGGTTGCTGCTGCAGCTGGTGTGGGGGCACCTGCGGTAACAGTCTTGGGATCTGAACTCCTGGGAGGTATGGCTGTTTCTGCTGGGCTCATGGCAACAACTGCTGCACCTGTGGTAGCTGTTGTGGGGATTGGAACGGCAGCTGCTGCTGCGGCAACGCTTCTGTGGCATGCTGTCACAACACCCTCAGCAGCTGCGGCTGCAGCGGCCGCAGCAAAGGCTGCTGCTGACGCAGCAGCGGCACAAGCGGCTGCAGATGTAGCTGCCACCCAGGTCGCGTCTGCTGCGGATGTGGTGTCCACTCTTCAGGCTTCGATTGACTCCCTTTCAGCTGTCGCGAGCGTCGCAACACCCTTCGTTGTGCCGGCAGCTCTGGTGCTAGCACTGGGCTTGCTGGGTTTTGCAGGTCGTAATCTTATTAAGAGCCTGTTAGGACGACTTTGGGAAGCAGAAATACAACACCACCAGAAGACTATGGATTGGTCGAGGCAGATGAAGCTGAAGCTGCGCGAGGCCGCTGAGAAGCTATTGAAAGTGCAGCAAACGAATGACGCCCTCACAGAGTGCCTGGACATGGTTGTGGAGGCTGTAGACACGATCGGGGATGCTGCAGAGGATGCCCAAGTCATGCCACCTGAGCCCAACATCCTTGAGCAGATCGAAAAGCTGCTGGCGGTCTATGAAAGAGTCCCTCCCGCACTCCGCGACGTGCATCAAGCCTTGAAGGAGCTTGAAGCCGCAGCTCGGGACAATCAGGCTGCCTTGCCTTGGCACGGCGAAGTTGACGTGCTCGCTGGCAGAGGCCAATCGTTGCAGTCTCCACCCTTTACCAATTTGTCCCCAACTGTAGCGGGGTGTAATGACTGTTTGCCTCGCAGCTCAGCCCTTCTTGTGACGGTGGAGTCGGCAGCCACCGCAGACAGGTTGCTGGCAGCCGGTCCCTCTGACTATGTCGAGGTGCAAGTGCATCCTCAAGGATGTACTCGGAAGCGTATGGCAACTTTCTGCTTGGGTGGACAAGTTCATTGCTTCACTGCCGACCACCCGCTGCAGGTGATGAGATCAGGATCCTCGACCATTGAGCAGGCGTGCATGCTCCGAGTCGGCGATGTCATCACCACTACCCTCGGACAACAGACCCTGCAGGCGGAGCCCAGAATCTACGACAGCTTGGAACAGGTGTTTAACTTGCAGGTGTTCTCGGATGCCGAGGTCTTCGTTTACCCTCGCAGATATGGGAGTGGCTGTCTTGGGCAGCTTGGAAGACTCCTCGTCAGGCTCGTCGACGAGATCCGTCTCCAGCCCTCCAGGGTTGGGGCAGCTCCCGTCGGAGGGGTCCCGGCACTGCAAGGGAGACCGGTCCTGCACGAATGTCTGCAGGAAGTTCATCCGCGGCACCTGCAGCGAGGGCTCGAACTGCCGCTTCTGCCACCGGCCTCACCCGGAGGAGCGCCGGCGCGCGCCCAGAGGTCCGAGGTCGCAGAGCCGCAGCAGTGGGAGTGCCTGAGCGGGCCATTTCTTGAGCATCTCTCCAGAAGCCCCAGTTGCTGTCAAATGGCTTAAGCAATTACCAGGCCTCCTAATTACTCACAGTGGTCGAAAAGCCTGTTTTGAGTGACGTGTCAGGGTTTTTGTTGTGATTCAGATGCACTGCGAGCGCTGCTCGCCGTGCCGCACGGGCGAGGCTGGAGATGTTCAGCTTATAAGTAACTTATAAGTGGTGTCGCATGAGTCCGCGGCGACCACATTGTACAGGCCAATGGCATCTTCTGCGTGCGAGGTTCCATGACGACATGGCTGGACTTGAGCAAGAGCGAGCGCCGCTCGATCCTCATTGCTCAATTTCCAGTGTGCTGCCCGAACCTGCCGCCGGCAGCGGAAAAAGCAAAAAGACCCATATCTGCAATTGCTGCATGCCCGCACCATCCTTCCCGCGCTTGCCACTCATGCGCACCTGCACAGCGCTCAAGGTTGGCCCAGAGTCCGACGCGGCGGCCATGTGCTTAGAGCATGCTGCCGATACACCCCATTCCCCGGACTCCGAAGCTAGGGCACTACTCTTGCTCGTGCTTGGGCTTTGAGTTTGGAGTTGTGACGAGTTGGGTCTTTAGTCAACTTTAGTCTTTTCCGATAGTATGCTCCGGTCCGTTTCAGGCACATTGCGTCTCACACATACATGCACGTAACACAGGAACCATGATGTCATCAGTATTGGGATGGCACTTTTTCTTGAGAGCTGTGCAGCATTGATACCCAACAACAGAAGCAAAAGTGAAATAACACTGACAGTAACCATAACAATAGCAATACCCATACTACTTGTACTACCAATGCCAATGCCAATAGCAATCGACCGCGACAGCGACAGCAACCGCGCCAGCACCAGCACCAGCACCGTTGCAGCGCAACAAGACTGCGCAACGCCTTGAAGTCTTGGCATATCCGTGCGAGTGCGTGGCATGCCAGGTCTCCGGGATCGTCTCGCTACAAGCCGGAGGTCGCTTGCATTTTGCACCCGTGTGCCGTTTGCCTCCGACTGCACACGCCAGAAAAGGTCTTGACATTTCAGGGCGGCGACGCGGAAGCTTTCCTACGACTTCGTGCTGCAAACCTCAGTTTCACTCACCAGGCTTCAGCTTGCAGAAGCCTATTTCAAAGAGAGATGGCAGCAACAACTACGTTTTCCACTGTCGAGATGCGAGGAGACCTGGACAGAAGCCGGTGGCAACAGCAGACTTACCTTCAGGAACTCGATGTCAGTGCCAGAGCTCGGCACCTTGTTGACTCTTTCAAGAAGAATCGTGTCAGGGACTTCCACATCGTTCACGTCCCGGTGGAGTACTTCTATGCCGAGCACCCTGCACCACCTCACAACCTGAAGCACTATTTAGTGGAAGAGCTTTTGGAGGGTATGTTGGAGAAGTTCAACAGCAACTCAGGCTGGTAGTTTTACATGCTTGACTGGTGTGGGTGAGCTAGAACGGGCCTTCAGCCACTTCACCTACTACGCATCGCACGGAAGTCAAATTCTAGTCTACGTGCAGGGCCTCGTCAAAGACAATCAGTTCTATTTGCATGACGTCGCAAGACATACAAAGGAAAAGCCAAGCAGTTTAGAGCCAATGAACCACGGCCGGAAGGGAATCATGTCCTTCTTCAGGAGTCACAAGTGCCGCTCAATGTGACATTAATTGGGGATACAGCACCACGTGCCCGACATGTCTGCTTCAGAGTCTGAAGCGGCGCTCCCCGCGATGCGTGAATCCTTGCGCAACTCAGCGCTGCTCCAGACTGAGGGGAGCCCCAAGCGCAGCAGCCAATGCAATTCAATTCCTGAAGATGCCAGTGAGGAGGAGTCTGAGGGAAGTGAAGACATGGACACGTGACAACCCTTCCGGATCCCGAAAGGATTGTCAACCTGTGTGAATGTCGCAAACTTTGTCCATTAAAGCACGAGCCTTTGGAATGAGACTGAGACACGTCCTCGCCTTGTCAGGCAACATGTTCACGGAAGCGAGAGAAAAAAGCAAAGCTCGTCGTAGGGCCAGATTGCCATGCTGAATAGTTTTAGCTCCGGATGTTGCCTGCGCACGCGCAAGCAATCTCTGAATCAAGGGCCAACCTGATCTCTTCCTTGTGTAGCTTATGCAGCTGGACGGGCCGTTCGCATGCCGTGATGCGATGCGACGCGGGTGGTGCTGAAAAGAGCAATGCAAGCGAGGTCGCAGACTGTGTCCAGCAGCTTGCGGTCTATGCAGCGTGGCATGCGGCAAACCTGCGATCCTTCCTGTGGCCACTTGGACTTGGTGAGAGATGTGCGCAACACAAATAAGTACCCAACGCCAAGATTCAACAAAGGAACTTGAACCCTGTAACCGCTTCACACCCCTAAGCCCTGCACCCAAACCCCCTGAAACATTTCCGACAACATGGATAACTTGGAAGGGAAGAAGGGTGACAACCAAACAAAAAACCATATCCCCTTCCGGCCCTGAAAGCCAAGTTTGCAGTCCCTAAAGCCTAAAGCCTAAACCCCAAAACCCTAAAACCCTAAACTGTAAACCCTAAACCCTAAACCCCCCCCCAAAAAAAAAACAACCTTAAACCCCCTAAAAAGGCCCCAAGTCTTGCCGTCTTCAGGTCCTCGGCGGATCGTGACAAGCAGAGGGCCGAGGCTTTGGCGCTGCAGCTGGAAGGGCTGATGCCCGCCGCGGAGGCGCAGACCATCAAGGCCATTTAGGGTGGGTTGTCATAAGGGTTCTATGAAGATTCCATCAGGCTTTTATATGGCTTCAAGGTTTAGGGTGTGGGGTTTAGGGGTTGAGTTCCAAGAGCAATGATTCATGCTTTGACTTTTTGTTAGCGAAGGCCTTGGCCTTTCGCGCAGCCTGGTTTACAGCCAACCAGCGCCGCTTCAACTTCGCCGACGCTGCTGAAGACCAAAGGGCTGTGGAGTTCTATGCCGACCTACTGGCGAGCCTGACCAACCCAGAGCTCGCGAAGAACATCAAGCCCCTCGCCACGAAGCTTCTCGGAAGATCGACTAGGAGCCAGAACACACACACACACACATTCCACTTGGATTGCTCCGTGAACCGTGCGTGTAGATCCAAACCTGTGAGAAGGGTGTCTCAGATGTTCCGGTGAGCTTGAATTCGGGGTAGTTGCAAAGTTCGTCTCTGCAGCGGGGGGGGGGGGCGGGGGGGTGTGAGTGAGAGCAGCTTTGGAATGCTTTTTCGTTGGCTTCCTTTTTCCATGGATTCCCTTGTTCCCCTGCACCTAAGGTCTTTGTCGTTGAATGCCTCCTGGCATGCGGCCAACACTCGATCAATGTTGTGGAGAGATGCTCGCGAGGTTGGCCGATGACGGTTCGTGCAAATCTCTTGCTCATGGCAGTGAACTGTAGCCTGTTTCAGGATGCCTGCCGCTTCGAGCGCGACTGCTCGCATCGAGCCTCAAGTGTGGGCATTTAGGATTGTCTTGATCTGAGAGCAAGACGAAGCTTTCGCAAGTCTGAGGAAGCTGGCGACGCTGCTCCGGCTGCAGTCGGGGAGGCAACAGCAGCCGGAGAACGAGGACGGGGAGGAAAGCGAAGGCTTCCGAACCCCTCGAGAAACGGAGGAGGCGACACCCACAGCGCTGCGGCGATGCGACTCCGTGTTGGACGAGATCGTCCTAGCCTGGCTAGCCGTCAAGGTCTCCGATGGTTCAACGGAGGCCTCCAGCTTCCTTTCTGCGGCCTCCGTTACGGTCATGGTCTTCGACGTCTTTGGGAAGCTCCTCCAGGGCTTTCAGGCAGACATGCGCAAGAACATCGAGATGGTCCGGCAGCACGTCGAGGGCGAGATCTCCCTGGAGCCGGGATTTGAGGGGGGGGGGGGTGTGGTAAAGGCTGCCAGGTTGCCTCACAAGCCCCCGTGTTGCATTCTGACGCACATGAGAGCCCATAACAAACCTTCAAGAATCCTGGTAGCATGTGAAGCCTTCACGCAGACCGTCCCTTTGAAGGAGAAGCTCATCGACGACGAGGCCAAGGCTGCAGGCTCTCATGCGAAGGCCCTTCGCGAAGGCAACGCCTCCATGGGCTTGCTCTGGCTGCCAGGAAGCACCAGTGGAATGTTCAGCATTATAGTAGTACAGTACATATACTGTTGTCGTTATTGAAAAATATGTGTATATGTCTATATATACATATATATATATATTTATGATCGCCCCTCCCATGATCCACCGGTGTTCTCGTTACCTTGAAAAATACTGTATGTTGCAGTACTTTTTGCATTTTTGCTTTACACAATTTTGCGAAGCAGTTTTGTATCTAACTCCTGAAAAATACTTGTTTTTTTCCTAGGTTTGCTGGTCAGAAACGAAGAATTACCTGTGTTTTGGCACATTTTCGGGCTCCCAACAGAGAAAACTCTGTTTTTCTATTAAAACACTGACACATACGGCCATTTGTTTTGCAAAGCTGCTTCCCACAATGTTGCGACTCAGCAAAACCACCCGAAACCAAAAACCCAAAAGACCAAAATCTGGGAGCGAAGCTTTTGGTTTCGGCTGGATTTTTTTTTGGTTTTGCACTGTGTTTTTTGGTTTTTGGGTCGAAAAACCAAAAAACCACGTGTTTTTTTGTTTTCATGGTGTCGCCTCGCTGAAAAACCAACAAAACGCATGTGTTATTTTGGTTTTTGCGTGAAAAACCGTGAAAAACAGAAACTTGCTAGGGTTTTAGCACGATTTAGCGATCGGGAAACGGCGAAAACCAAAAAAACGCATGTGTTTTTTGTTTTGAGTGAAAAGCCAAAAATTGCCAGGGTTTTAGCACGATTTCTCGATCGGGAAACGGTGAAAACCCAAAACACATGTGTTATTTTTTTGGTTTTTCGACCCAAAAACAAACAACAGTGGAAAACCAAAAAACCAAAAATCCAGCCGAAACCAAAAGATTCGCTCCCAGATTTTGTTTTTCTGGTTTCGGGCCGCCTCTTTGAAGCCTCGAGTCTGTGTTCTAAGCCCCAAGCTGTGTACTTGAATACAGGACCAAACAAACAGTGTCGGGCAGGCCAAAGTGCACTGAGAATGCATCACAATTATATGATACACGACAAGCGCTTCCCGGGAAACATTTGCTTCTGCTAGAGGTTCACTGCAAAATCCGGCTGATCTCTACTCTGATGCGCGCTGAAGACCAAAGCATCTAGCTACAGTTTGCACAGTTCTTTCAGCATGGTTAGTACTTTAAATGTCGCAAAATATTGCCTGAAAGACTCGTCAGGTAGTTCTTCATTCTTCTCTATCGAATTACCATTATGACACATGCTTAGTAATGATTAATTTGGCCCAGCATTTGTTATTAACGAATCATTCGACCAACATCTCATGAGTATATATTTGGTGCTACGGAAATAATCAGAGGATAGCTGACCACAAGTAGAAGGTAAGATCAACAGTTGTTAAACCCGCGTGTGTTAGTCATTCTTCAATAGCTATCGAATTAACGTTAACGTTATCAGAGATGCATAGTAATCATTAGTTTTTCTTGGAAATCGATATTCATGAAGCAGTAATTAAGATCGCTTTGGTTCATGAGTTATTCGAGCACGGTCTCATGAGTATATACCTAAAGCGTTTTTGGCAATACGGCAATCTCTAGAAGATAGCTGGCAACAAGTGAAGGCAATATCAGCAAGTGTTAAATAGCGATCATAACACTTGTTCATTTTTCAATATCGTATTACTGTTACAAGATACGAAGTAATGGTCAAAAACGCTTTGTGTATGATGTTCATGAATTATTGATAATGCTTGGCAGGTGATATGAATTAGTCGACCAATATCTCACGATTTCACAGATACCTGACTCGTTATTGATATGCAAGCAACACCTGGAAGATAGCTCATACATAAACGACAGTATTAACAATTGACAGATGCTGTGCATGTAATAGATATTTAATTTAATGGTGCTACATGATACCTTTCCAGTCTGCGGTTGCTGCGTTGTTCAATTTAGTTAATATTTCAGTGGTACTAAGCCGAATGTTTGCTTCATGTCTTTTTGGTGTTTCATTTATATACTATGTGCTCGTTAGTATTATGTTTGGGTCATGTAGTTGACATGTTATGACTTCCACTTAACGAGCACTGTTATCGCGGTCTACTGTTGTTTCCTTAGCAAAAGGCATGTTGTCAATAGCTAGCAGATTGAGTTGGGCACTAATTGAATAATTGGCTACTATAAATTCTCGTTACTTTTGCTATATTTGCTAATTGAACAAAAATTTGAAGGTTAGTTAGCTCATATAAGTTTTCATTGGATGTTTTTGCAATACATAGGTGCTCTTACAGTTACACAATCTTAATAACAAGTGCGTCTTGTGCGAATGATGTATGCGTGCTAGATAGTGGCTTTTCAACGGGTGGAAGGTGGGTATTTTGCCATATTTCAGAAATATACACCGGCACAGTCGTCCTGATTTCCTACCGTGCCGAGATTAGCCGCCAAGCACCGAATATTTTCACCATATATAGCGTTGGATAAATCTCGTTTTTGTACGCTCTCTCGAGCTTTGAAA